GATTCCCACGAAAAGGGATATCCTGTAATGTTCAGAGAACATCCTGAGAACCTACTACTCTAGTGGTAGTACTCGAGTGGTAGTATCTAGATATAATAATAATAATAATAATAATGTTTATTTCTGAAAAATATATATATCATTACAATGTTTTTTTGTTTTTATTTGCTGTGGTAGGATTGCAGAAACAAGCATTAGAAAACCCATTAGAACCACAGGGTCGAGCATGGGTTTGTCAAAACTGTATCTATTTATCCTAGAAATCGAGCAGCAGAGAAGAAAGAGAGAGAGAGAAAAAAAAAAAAACATGTTATATAATTTTTACGTGAGCTAACTTAGATTATATAGGGTGAATTGTGAATTAAACAAATATAAGTATTTACTCTGAATAAACAGTCCTAAATTAATTGTAAAAAAAGAAAAAATAATTATTAATTATGTCCATAATCGTCATTATATTTGGGTACAAATTAGAGTGAATTTTCAAACTATATGTTATTACCTATTCTATAATGTGTCGGACGTACTCTCTTGTCAGAGAAAATATATAGTGTTTGAAGATGTCTTTCAAAAGGTTGGGCGAGTTTATAGTGAATAAATAATTTTTGTACATTTCTGGCAAACTGTTGAAGATTTTATAGCGGAGATATAAATAGCATTTTTGACCAATTGATTTTTTGCAGAAAGGTAATTTGGCAGTGATTTTAATTCTACTTCTTGTTGAATGGTCATGATGAGTATTATCCAATATGATTTTATTCTTGTTCAAATCAGTGGTAATGCTGTACATGTAGAGTTGTCTGATATTCATAACATGAGCCTCTGCATAAAGTTGGTCAGAGGGGTAAGTATATGGTTTTTTGTACATGATTTTCAAGATTTTTTTCTGTAGTGTGTCTAGTTGTTTTAGGTGTTTATAGACGACCCCACCCCAGCTTAGAACTGCATACTGTAACCGGGACTCAACAAGAGAGTAATATATCATTTTTAGGTGCGTGGTGTCCAAGATATTTCTCAAATACCTGAACTTTGGTAGCAAGCTTCTTAATGTCCTAGTCATGTTCGAGATATGGAAATTCCATTTTAAATGAGAATCAATTGTTATTCCGAGATACTTTACTTTATCTGATGATTTTATTTCATACACAGAATTTTCGTGTGAAATTCTCAACTTGTCGAAGTCAGGTAGACTGTTTTTGTAGCTACAGAATGGAAGGTAAAAAGTTTTTTCAAAATTGATGGTGAGAAGTTTATGGTTGAACCAGTTAGTTATGTTGCCAAAGTCTTCTTCAACATTAGTTCTTAGGTCGCTCCACGAATCAGATGAATATATAACAGCTGTGTCGTCAGCGAAGCTAATTACTTTTCCAGTGGATTCTATGGTAAGTAGGTTGTTAATATAAATACTGAATAGTAAGGGGCCCAGAACTGTACCTTGTGGTATACCGTATTTCAATTTTTTTTCATTGCTCATCTCACCATTAATTTTGACCACTTGCCTTCTATTTTTCAGGTAACTTTCCATCAGGTCTAGTGCAACACCTCTGATTCCGATGCCTGCCATTGTATCTAGTAACTGCGAATGATTAACCGTATCGAAGGCTTTGGCCAAGTCTAAAAATATACACAAGGTTGGCTTACTAATGTCTACTAGTTTATAGATATCCCCAAGCAAAGATGCGATGGCGTCATTTGTCGATATACCTTTTCTGAAACCGAATTGTTGTTTTGAGATTATATTGAATTTATCTAGATAAACCGTTAATCTATTTTTCAAACATTTTTCAAAGATCTTGGCAACAGCTGGTATCACAGAAATTGGCCTGTAGTTATTTATTTCAATCATGTTGCCTTTTTTGTAGATGGGAGTCACTACCGCCATTTTGAACTCAGAAGGGCATATACCAGTAGAAAATATTTGATTGATCAGGTGTACTAAGGGATCGGCAATTTGGTCGCAGATTTCTTTTATTGATTCCGATTTAATTTGGTCAATACCAGGCGATTTATTATTTTTTAGTTCAGTTATTATACTAATGACTTCATTTTTTGTTACAGGTTTCAAATAGAAAGAGTTGGGTATATAGGCAACTGGAGGAGGAGGTGTAGATGGAGGCACAATTTTTTTAGCATAGCTTTCTCCGATAACGGCGAAAAAATTATTGAATGCTTCGGCAATTTGTCTATCATCTTCAATAAGTTCACCATCCTTATTCAATATACTTTTTATTTCTACTTTCTCATTAGCTCCTCCTAAATCTGAGATAATCTTCCACAAGTTTTTGGGATTATTTCTATTTTTATTTATTTGAGATTTATAGTAGTTGTATTTTCTTGCAGTGATTAACTTATCGGTATGATTACGATATTCAATGTATGTTTTTTTTTTCAATGCATTATTTGGATCTTTTCTGTGTTCGCGGTATAAGTGGTTTTTTCTATTGATAGATTTCACAAGGCCATCAGTTATCCACTCTTTTCTTTTTCTTTCATTTTTCGATTTTTTGTATTCTTTTGTGTTTTTATGTATTGTATTTTGTAGTATTCCCATCAAATCTGTACAAAGAAGTTGTGGGTTTTCTGTACTATAGAAGGCCGTCCAGTCATGAACAGACAGGTCGCTTCTCAGTTTAACATAGTTAATATGTTTATAGGTATATTTATTTTTGCATGTTTGAGTCAGTGTAGTATCATAATGTTTCGAGATACACACAACGGTAGCTTTATGGTCTGTAATATTACTGTCAATAACCATGGCAATGCAGTTATCATGTTTTAATCTTGTCGATGTTGTTTTGAAGAAAATGTGGTCCAAACAACTCTTAGAACCTCCTTGCTCTCGTGTATATTTGTTAATCAGTGATATGAAGTTGTGCGAACTGTAGTTATCTAGGTATTCATGTATAAGGTCTTCTTCATTGAACAAGTTCAAGTTTATATCTCCTATTATAATATGATTATGTACTGGTATTTGCTTTGATTCTCTGAGGTACTGGTTTAAGCAGTTTACAAAACTTTCTGCCTGGGTGGGGGGTGGTCTATATATTGATGTTACCAAAATATGTCTGAAGTTATTTAGGATAATTTTTAATTGTATAGCTTTGCACTGATCTATTGAAACTACTGTTGAGGAATGTGTGTAACTTTTTTTCAAATATACTATGACTCCATCGTTTCTATTGATATCTCCTCCACTATAAAAACAATTATAATTATCTAGCTGATACATTTTTATATCTTCAATTTTGAGTGTTTCAGTGAGGATTATACAATCGAAGTCGAAGTTGAGTTGGCTTAAATGAATGACTAAACTATCTAAATTTTTTGACACACTTCTTATATTCTGATGGAATATTTTGAAATTGTTGTAATCTAGTAAACAATTCTGCTGATTCATATCGCTCATATTATGTAGTTCCAGGGATTCAAATGGTTTATGATTTATATCTCGTATATATGGATTCATTGTTTGTACTTAGTGCTATTCTTACTAGTTAATGATTAATTATTACAAATATTTTATATATATTTTGACCTATAAAGATGCCTACTTACATAATATACTACTTAATTCTGGTTTGGTTCTTGAAATGATTTTATTTGCTTTTTGCGTTCCGAGTTAACCTTGCACTCTTACTACTTGATTCAGAATCACTTCGGTGCAATTTCTTGGTAGATGCTTCTCTATGGCTGTCTGCAGGTGACGTTGTTCCTCTTTTCGAATTCTTATTGAATTGGCCAATGTCGATATCCATACCTATTTCACATTCCTTGTTATGATCCATATCATTTTCATCCGATGTTAGTTGTACCTCCTGGAGTAAATCTTGATAGGTATATCCAGTGCCTTCAATGTACAGTTTTTTCCCAAATATATGAGCTTTTTTATTCTTGCGTCTGGCCACGTTTTGATGACTAACTAGAACTTTCCTCTCTGCCCTTTCGTCTTTTGAAAGGTCTTCAACAATTGACAATTTCTTCCCCTTCAACTTATTGCAATTCTTCAAAATGTTTTGCTTTGTTATAAATCTCGTAAATTTTACCAATATTATTTTATTGTTTGTATCATTTCCAATGGTGTAGATATTATTTATTTCCTGTTCTGTCAGTTGTACTTCTAGATTATTATTCAATAGTTCAAGGGTGAATTGTGTCAGGTTCCCCTCTGTATAATCTGAATTGAATATAATTATGTTATTCTCTCTTGCTGTTCTTTCGAGTATTTTGTTCTTTGCTTTCAAGATTTTAACTTCCTCTTCTAATTCACTCACCTTTTGTGTACTCTCACTGAATGCATTTTTCAGCTCAGTTATTTGTGCTGATAGTGTATTAGCAAGTGTTCTGTTTTGCTCCGCTATAAATAACTTCAAGTCTTCTAGGCTATTCATTTGATAAGTTGGCTCACGGACTATTTCTGATAAGTTTGGAACTTTTTTTATCCACCCACTGCGAGGTGTTTACCTTATGTTACTATTATTATGGTGTTCGTCTATCTATTCTGGAGCTTCCAAACTAATATTTTGGTATTCCTTCAACTAATCGCACTTATGTAGTTCAACAGTCCATTTCCTACAATTTTCTGGGCACTAAAACACACTTTATAACGACTTGATACGGAGCACTCTACAGAACAGGATACTTCACGCTGTTAGTACGTACGCATATATCTACTATACTATCATGAAATGCAAGTAAGATATGGGTTTCTACCTATTTTCAGTGTTTTTTTTCAAAAACAAGAATAAACTACCCTCTGGACGGGTGATATGTGGATGATACCTACTACAGGTTGTTAGTAGTTACTACTGGTCTGGTAGTAGTTGTATATCTTGTTTAATAGCATTGAATCTTCGAAAATCTTATTAAAACGGAAAATTTCCACTTTGGTCAGTAAATTAGAATTTCCCAACTTTTACAATATATTATTTGATTTCAAGTCTGGTTTCCATGATGGCAAGGATGCAAAATGGTATCATTTTGAATGTTTCTTCAAAAAACAGAGACCTAAAACGACCGATGATATAGACCATTTCGAATCTTTGAGAATAGAAGATCAAGATAGAATAAAATCTCGGGTAGGTGTTGCTACAACAGCTATTGTACCAGACAAAAAAGGTAAAAAAAGAGCTGCAGACCCATCTCTCAAGCTGAAGCAGCAAGCCCTCCAAGATTTTGAGGTACAATATTCCAAGTCTGGTCGAGCTATGTGTCAAGGCTGTGAAATTAAGATACTGAAAGATGAAGTTAGAATCTCCAAGAAAGATTTTGATACTGAAATAGGCCGCAAATATGGGGGCCAGCCAATGTGGCACCATGTAAATTGCTTTGCACAAGTGAGGAGCAGTCTTGGATTCTACGAGTGTGGTGATAAACTACCAGGGTTCAAAACTTTATCACCAGATGACCAAAAAAACGTCAAGGCAAAAATTCCGTGAGAACTCAATCAAGCATTCAATTATTTTTATTTTTTCTTACTGATTTAAGGGCTATCAAGCAAGAAGACATTCCACCAGAGGTGAAGAAAATAAAAACAGGGGATGAAGTTGATGGGGCATTGAAAGAAGACGAATATAGGGTGCAAACTAAATTGATGTTCAATTATAGAGATCAACTTGATGTACAACTGAGGAATGATGAACTAAAAGAATTGATTCTCTTCAATAAACAGGATATACCAAGTCCAGCCAGCAAAGAAAATGTGAGTGCTATAGTACCTAATGATGATGGAAATACCAACTAATTAGAGATGTTCTGAACTGTTAGCCAGAATTACAATTCCTTAGAAAAGCTGATGGTTTGATCATTATACATGGTAAACCATATAATTCTTTCAGCCTTTACTTTTTGACATCCTGTGGCAAAACTGAGGGTATAAACTTAGCTTCATTATGTTTCAATCACATCCATATCTTATTCTACTCACATAACTAAAGTGAAATTTAGCATGTGAAAATGTTCCACACTAAGATTAATCACATGGGCTATCTGTGGTTTATTCAAAAAATTAAACAGGATACCATGGCTACACAATTTCTTGAACAAATTTTGTTGCAATAGATGACAATCAGAATTATTCAAACTTATTTTTATATCAGAATTCTTCATTAAAAAGGTATGCTAAAGTGAAATCAAAAAATGGAGCTCTCATCTTTGTGAGCAATTTATTCTATGCTAAGCATGACAATAAACATGAAACACAATATTTATGTCAGCAAAAAGTCTGCAAAGTCTTGAAACGTACATCAGAATATGGATACAACCCTGAGAAATCAAAAACTTTGACACCTCAGCAAATATCAGAGTTTTTATCTTCTATGTCAGATGAAAACTTCTTCTCAAAGGTTAGTAAGCAAGTCATTTCAATAGAAATTGTGTCTCATTGGTTGGTTGCATGCAGTTCCATAGTATTATGTATCATGTTGTCAATGGTGGACTTTGCTCCAAATTGCCAACCCAAAAACCTCTACCACTCTAGAAGCAATATTCTGGAAGTTTGAAAACTCAAATAGCTTTATTTTGGTGAAATGTGATTGTAAGGGTCTACTCAGCTTTCTAATGAATGTTATTTCAGAAGAACAATTAGTTTCTGCAAACTTCACATGTGACTTCACATCTGACTGGTTGAAAAGGTCAATGTTGAAATGCCAATACTATCAGTAGTGTAAAAAATGGTATATCAATGAATCACTAAATCAGTGAGTTCCAATCACGTTCGAATGTTGAATGATGATTAAGAAATGCTTGTCTCTCATGACAACTCCTCGTAATGGTAATCAACATTGAAGTATATCAAATCAAGACCAGAATTAATTCAAATGAATATATTCTCACGTCACAAACATGGATGACAACATTCAAAATTCCCCTTTTCAAAACTGACAAGTTCCATCATTCATCATTGCATAACACTGGGTGGTTCAATATATTACATTTCTCTCCTTCTTGAAATGAGCGTCAACCGATATACCCATAACGCTGTGGTGGTCGTCTTTGACGACCTGATCTTCGCAAAGAATCATCCATAGTTGATGTATGAATTCGAGTTCCTGACGAAGGACCAGCTTCCATCGACCTCGACGATAGAGATGCAGACGGCTCAGACTCCGCCGTATTTGGTCTTCCATTAAGGTTCTCGTTCATCTGGGAATATTGATAAGTACTGAAATTCGATCCTGTCAATAGATTTCTCATTTGATCTGCATGTTTCCTCCGAAGAGTTCCACTTCGTAGGACAAATGTCCTGTTCTTTTCTTCACCGCTCCTTTATGAAATCCTTTACCATCCGTATTTTTCACCCAAACGGCCTGCCCGGGTTCAAATTCTCTCACTGTTGCTTTCCTGTCATGGTAAGCTTTTTGTTTCAATGTATTATGTTCAACTCTCGCATTCAAGTCAGGTTTCAATAAATCAAACCGATTTCTCAAAGGTCTTCAATTCAACAACTCTGCCCAATCAACAACTCTGCAGGCGATCTACCTTTTGTCTTCTGTGGAGAGTTCCTATATGACATCAGAAATTTCTGAAGTCTCACGTCTAAATCTTCGTATGATGACTTAGAACACAACATTCTCTCTTTGAATGTTCGCACTGCACGTTCTGCTAAACCATTAGATTTAGGATGATATGGTGTAATTAAAACATGTTTCATTCCATTTTCTTCACAAAAATATTCGAAATTGTTCGAAGTAAACGTTGGCCCGTTATCTGTTACAATGATCTTTGGTAAACCAAGTCTAGAAAATATCTGCCTCAAAATTTTTATAGTAGTGGAGCTTGTCATATCATTTGTAGGAGTTATCTCAAGCCACTTCGAAAATGCATCGATGAATATGAGGAAATATTTACCTTGGAAATGACCAGCATAGTCTAAATGTATTCTAGAGCACGGCTCAGTCGACTGGTTCCAAGAGTAAAGCAGAACTTCTGGTTCATTACATTTTGACTCCTGACATGGAGTAGACAACTTCAAGAACTCCTCAATGTCCTTGTTAATTTGTGGCCACCAAATATGTATCTGCGCCATGGATTTCATCGCACATATTCCTGGATGTCCTGTATGCAACATTTTCAAAACATGTGAACGAAGAGATATCGGAATGACAATTCTTCCTCTCCACAAAATAATATCTTCCCCATAAGATAATTCATTTCGTTTCTCGAAATATGTATACATACTCTCATCTAAATTTTCCCTTGTCAGGCCATCTTCTTGTTATATACTCAGTTATCTTCTGAAGAAGTGGTTCTTTTTTATTTCCTGTTTCCAACGCTTCCTTATCGATAACAGCATATCTGGTCTCTGTATCAGTTAATGTTCGTGATCCAGAAGCGACTGGTCTTTCACTTCCATCCGGATATCTGTGGAATAATACAGCCCCAACACTTTTGTTGCTTGCATTAGCTGTTAGCACCAATGGTAGATCGGGATCGTAGTGCACTAAAGTATTTTCAGAAGAAAAAACCCGTTTCAGTTCTTCAAAAGCAGTATCTTGCTCTTTTCCCCAATGGAATCTTGTATTCTTATGTAAAAGTATATATAATGGTGCACAAATGCTTTGAAGACTTCTGATAAATTTTCCATAATAATTGATAGAACCCAAAAATGACCTCAACTCGGATACATTGCTTGGAATAGGCATTCTTGTTATAGCTTCAATGTGTTCTCTTGTTGGATGAATGCCGAATTTATCAATTCGATGTCCCAAATGAGTTACATGATTTTGTAAGTATGAACATTTTGAACGTTCAATGACTTTACCTGTAATAACAATGTCGTCTAGGTAACAGGCAACTCCTGGTATACTTGCTAAGATCTGGTCCATAACTTTCTGAAAAAATGATGGAGCAAAACTTATTCGAAAAACTAGTCGTGTATAACGAAAATAACCCATATGCGTAGCGATTTTGAGATAATCCCTGGAAGATTCCTCGACTTCTATCTGCAAATACGCATCTTTTAATTCGATGATTGTGAATTTATCGCCTCCGCTCAGTTTAGATATGAGTTCCTCAAACCTTGGTAGGGGATATTGGTCTTTGATCACGAAAGGATTAATTGTCAGTTTGAAGTCTGCACATACTCTGATTTGTCCATTTGATTTCAAAGCAATGACGATTGGAGATGCCCAGTCAATTTGCTTAAGAGTGGGGTCAACTGGTTCAATAACATTCTCTTGTAGCAATCTCTGTAATTCCTTTTCAACTGGTTCTTTCAGAGCTAATGGCACTGGTCTGGGACGAAACATCTTTGGACATGCGTCTTCCTTTAATACAATCTTCACTTTATGACCGTTTATTCTACCAAGCTTATCAGAGAAAACAGTTGAGTATCTGTTCAAAATTGTATTGACTTCATGGTTTTCCGACATCTGAAGATCTCGTGGCTCTTCCAAAGTACATATCTCAACTCCTGGAGGCAGGTTTAAATCGAAGTATATTGACCAGTCTAATCCAAAAAGAGGTTGATCGTTCTGTTCAATTACAAACACTGACAATTTCTTTATTTGATTGAATGCCTCAACCATAACTTTCGTTTTTCCTAGTGTTTTGATTGGAATATCTGTATAGGCCCTCAGGGAAGATGTTTCTATCAATGTTGGTTTGCCAATTTCATGCCAAATCTGTTCAGATATAACTGACTTAGATGCTCCAGGGTCATAAATCATTTCTATGTCCTTATTATTAATTCTTACGTTCAATGTAGCTTTAGTACCTTCACTGAGTGTTCTCAAAATGTTTTTTTCAATCTCATTTTCGTTACTGGAAAGGTCTGAAGTGTTACCATTCTCTTCTGATTTAATTCTTCTTTGTTGGTTTCTTCCTGGCTTATAATTATAATTGTTTTTAACGAATGCTTTCCGGCTTTATTTGCAAACATTTTGAAAATGATTTCTACCTCCACATGCACTGCAAACTTTGCCAAAAACTGGAAATTTCTCGTTTGGACCATGCAATGTCCTTCCACAATTGAAACAGTCGACGTTTTTATCGAGCTGCTGTTGTTCAAATCTTGTTTTGGTAGTTTTTTACCGTGTATTCGATTGATAGATCCTAGTTGATTGTTGAATATTTCTAATTGTTTCTGTTGTAACTCGGCTTCTTCCACTATTTTCATAGTTGCTTCTACATCTCTCAAACTAGCAGTGTTTGAGGTGTGTTTTCGGATGACTTCCTGCTGCCATGAGTGATTATTTATTCCAATCACTAGTTGATCTCTTAAACGTTCTTCTAGAGAATCCCCAAACTCACAATTCCTAGCAATGGATCTAAGTTCACTCAGATATTGGATGACGGTTTCGTTCTCTTTTCTCATTCGCATTGCAAAATTTCGGCGTTCCGCGAGTATACATATTCTTCTACCATAATAACTTTGTAACACAGTTTTCAAGTCGTTGTACGATTTGTTAGTGACTGATTCCGGAAGGAAATGATCTACTAATATCTTGAAGGCCAATTCTAGCCAGCAATAAGTTTCTTCTGATTTCCATTTTGTCATCTGTGATTAGATCATGTAGTTTTAGCTCGGTTTCGAAACGTTGGATGTAGTATTCTCAACCTTCCCTCGTCGGGTCGAATCTTTCGAAAATGAATTGATTTACAGCCATTTTCTCGTCGCCA